GCCTGCTTTAAAAGGAGTGATAACAAGGCAGCATGATCCTATTAGCTCCGATTGTGTTTGTGCTTGTTCCATTTAATCAGAACTGTTTTGTTGTGTCAGTCTAGTGTAAAGGATCTATCATCACATAAAAGTGCAACTCTGAAAAAACAGGTGGGGATGTATTTTGAAATACAACTGTTAGCCATGCCCTTTGCTTAACTTAGTGCAGCAAAGAAAACAGACCAGAGGTTTTCAAATATTTGCAGCTTTACTGTGTGTTGCTTGTTCAACACAGTATTAACACCAATACTGTAACTACTTTAAGAAAGCATTAGCAACCTTCTGGATTTCCAGAAAAGGAAGAACCCAGCCAGCTTTAATTGTTGCTTCAAAACTGCCTGATTTTTCTCAAATAGGAAATTCCAAGGCAGCACTCTGGCATTATCTAGTGCCCCAGATCAGGGGACAGGACTTCAGGTGTTATTTCCACAGAAGCATATAAAGCTCAACATACATGAGCTAGGAAATAACCCTTAGCCTTGGAGCCAGTTACACACGCTGCTCCCTTCCTTTTGCTGGTTCTGACACAGCAAAATGCAACAAATCAACAAGGCAGAGATTACACAAGTAGCTGTTGTTCCACTGCTGCTTCCTCTCATCTCCCTGGGCCACACTTCAGGAACAGCTGCTCAAGCAAACTGAAAAATGAAAAACGAGACCCCAAGGCTGCTGACAACATTCATCTCCCCTTCTGTACTTCTCATTTAGATTTAGGGGGCGTCACGCAACTGTTAACGCATTGCTTTGTGTTTGGCAACTCTCTTAATAGTCTGTCTCAGAGGTTTGCCAGCAAAAACAATGCTGAAATAATAAAAAAAATCATCAGGAAATTAAACAATTTAGTAGGCACACTTCAGCCTAAACTAGCAGATTTGTTCAAGCACAACAAGTTCAGTATCAGAGCCTACGTGCATCCCTGTTTTATGATATTAAACAAATACGGCATTACCAATTCCAGAGTTCACCACTGCACTGGAACTGTAGAGTGAATATTCTAATTAATCACATGCAGAGTATACTACCAGTTTGATAGAATACGGTACTGAAATGCATATGCACGCAATAGTTACTGCAACTGCGGGCTCACACATACCACTTTTTCATAGCAAAAACTCATCAAATTTCTCTTGATATTACATGAATGACACAACTAGTTTACAGGATCTGGATCGATTCGTGTTTCAATGAAGAACCCACCACTTGTACTAAAGAAATACTTCTATTAAAGGAATAATCCCAGAAGTCAAATACAAGAACCATAAATAAAAGCAGGACCACCACCACAAGAGCAGGAACATCTGTATGGATTTAGTGGAATTCAGTCACTGTCAACATTAAAGCACATCTCACCGCTTCCTTTAAGTTGCTGTAGCTAGATGCTGGCATCTCTACCTCCTTACTTGTCAATCTAATATAAACCTGGCTAACAAATCTTTATTTGCTATGCTCCAGTTTGACTTGTGGTCAAAGGAATACTACATACACAGGAATACTACAACCAATTAATGATTTAGATAAATCACACAGAAGTAAAATCTTTCTCTTTTAAAATATGTAAGCCTGTTTTTTAACTAAAATAATTACAAGTAAATTTTTATTAAATATTTTATCATTAGCTCCACATAAATTAGCAGAAGGAGCTAGCACTTTTCACCACAAAAAGCTCTAGCATTATTCATAAAAATATAATTCAACGCCAATGTAACTGTTCTACGTATGTACTGGGCAAAGGGCTCAGTTCTTTTCTACTTGGACTTTCTAGCAATGGAAGAAAACCCGCAGATCAAATGATTCCCTGTGATGGTTTTTAATTAGAATTTAAGAAAAAGGCTAGAAAACTAACCACGCTCTGTTAAACAGGGTACAAAATCTTTATTCACCAATAAGTTAAGTGTTCTTATAAATAGATGTTCTAGTCTTTTGTACACTGTATTGAGTATAAAGCCAAGCTTCAGTTATTCCTCAGACTCTGATCCTTCTTCATCTTGACTGATTTGGAAGTAGCGTAGTTCGTATGTCTCCTTGTCAGAGGCGACGACACGAAGCCAGTCACGCAGATTGTTCTTCTTGAGGTACTTCTTTGTGAGGTATTTTAGGTACCTTAAAACCAGTAATTATACATTAGAACCTTCTCATTTAACCCTTACTGCTGTCTGCACTCCACCCAAGACATGGCCCTAGCAGGGCAACAACACACTAATTATAGCCAGAAATAAAAAAATATCGTCTATAACAGATAATAAACATGTATTTTCATTCCAGATACATAAGAATTTATTATTTGATACTTTTTGACTACATAGCACAACGCCAGTAACTCAAAAGCATTGAGAACTGGTTCTAAACCTTGATCTAACACAATAGATATTGGTGCACCTGTATCAGTGAAACGAAGGGGGGGATGCAGGGAAGGAACCCTGCCTCTAACCAGTGCGCTCGCCTGTTGCGTGCCCTAACGCACTTAAGCAGTTTAAGGCTTCATTTGACTTAAGGGGTTCTTTTGCAACAACAAGTATTGCGTACACATACATTTTAATACTGCCAATTAAGTAACAAAACAGCCACCCGTGACGTGAATTCAGTATGACTTTTAAAAGCACCTTTTTCCTTGATATACTTCTAACAACCTATATAAAGCATCGCTGTGTTACGATGTTTATACTAGAGGAAGCATTAATTTGCAATCAAGTCCTGTGTTTTAAAAAGCAGTTTTTAAAATATATAATATTATAAATTTATTTGAATTACATCTTTCGCTAATATTTATAAGCGCTGTGAAGGTTAGCGCTAACCTTCTCTGTACGTATCAGAAGTGTGTCACGTTCAACATATGACTGTTCAAAATCCACTGTCGCAAGTACAACAAAAGGAAACCTGTGCCAACCTTTTAGAAAACTGTTTCTCGGATGTCACTGTGATCTTGTTCTTCAGACGTTCAATGTGAACCGTGTTGCCCAAGTTTCCAGTTTTTCCATTGACCTTAACCTTCTCCTTTAGGAACTGTTCCTGTTTCAACATTAAAGAAATAGAACACTAGGGAATGGCACCCTAGGTATGAACTAGGGAAGGGACCCTAGCCATATAGCAATATTAAAAATCGCCGTTTACTTTTGTCCTGATAGCAAGTACTTACAATGCAGTAAGATTTTACAGCATGTAATCAAAAAAAAAATCACCCCCGTGTTAAAACAGGATACAATTTAAAGTAGCTCTATTCATGGATAGGTATGAACCACCTTGTCTGTAAGAGACATCTAAACCCAAGAAACTTTCAAACAGTGACGATAATTTAAAGAATAGCTATTGATTTTACTAGCTTAAAATGTAACTTTTCAGTTCTAATTCAGTTGTTGTACTGTACGTACTAAGGCTGTTATACTGTGCGCGAGAATTACGAGCAAAACGACGACTTACAAAATTCCCAGAATCAAAAATTCCATCTTCCACAGGATGGGTCAAGTCAAGGCAGAACTTCCAGGTTGACTTTTTAGATTTTCTGTCCTTTTGCTACAACACAAAACACCCCGACGTTAACGGTAACAACCCACACCCGAAAAACATCTATTAGAGCGACGGGGGACACGGCAGAG